GGGGAATTGGGGTCTGGGGTCTTCAATGGGGGGGAACTCAAGGGGGGCACCCATGGCGGGAAATTGGGGTCTGGGGTCTTTCCGGGGGGGGGTTATTGGGTGGGGGGGGGGCTCTAAGGGAGGGTAACCCCCCCTTTAATGGGGTTTGGGGTACCCTGGGGGGGGATTTGGGGTTCTGGGGGGGATTTTGGGGTTCTGGGGGAGATTTTTGAGGTTCTGGGAGGGATTTTGGGGTTCTGGGGGTGGGTTTGGTGGGGGATTTGGGGTTCTGGGGGGGATTTTGGGGTTCTGGGGAATATTTTTGGGGCTCTGGGGGGGATTTTGGGGTTTTGGGTGGGTTTGGGGGAGATTTTTGGGGTTCTGGGGGAGATTTTTGGGGTTCTAGGGGGGATTTTGGGGTGGGTTTGGGGGGGGATTTGGGGTTCTGGGGGGGATTTGGGGGTTCTGGGGGGGATTTTGGGGTTCTGGGGGAGATTTTTGAGGTTCTGGGAGGGATTTTGGGTTTTGGGGGTGGGTTTGGGGGGGATTTTGGGGTTCTGGGGGGCTCTCCCCGGACTGGGGGGGTTCCCCAGCACCCATGGGGGGTTCCCCAGCACCCATGGGGGGTTCCCCCAGCACCCATGGGTGCCCCCTGCTCTGCCCCCCCAGGGATGCTCGGCCGTTTCCAGCAGGATCTGGGGGGGCTGCGCCTGGCGGCCGCCCGGGGCCTGGCCCGAGCCCTGGGGGGGGGGCGCCGCCCCCAAAGGGGGGGACCCCCCCCTCACCCTGACGGCCACCGTGAGTCCGGGGGGGGACCCCAAAAAATGGGGGGGGGGGCGCCTAAAATAGGGGAGGGTGAAAGGTTCCCTGGAGGGGATTTGGGGTCTCTGAGATTTGAGGTCCTGGGGGTGGAAATTTGGGGTCCCTGAGGGGAAATTTGGGGTCCCTGAAGGAAAATTTGGGGTCATTGAAGGAAAATTTGGGGTCCCAGGGGGGTACTTGGGGGTCCCTGTGGGATTTGGGATCCTGAGGGGGAAATTTCGGGTCCCTGTGGGTGAATTTGGGGTTCCTGGTGGGGCTTTGGGGTCCCTCAGGGGGGGTTTGAGATCCCAGGGGGAAAATTTGGGGTCCCTGAGGGAAAATTTTGGGGTCCCTGTGGGATTGGGGGTCCTGGGAGGGGGAAATTTGGGGTTCCTGAGAGAAAATGTGGGGGTCCCTGTGGAGTTCGGGGTCTCTGGGGGAGGTTTTGGGGGTCCCTGAGGGAAAATCTGGGGCTCCCTGGGGGGGAATTTGGGGGTCCCTGGGGTGGATTTGGGGTCTCTGAGGAGAATTTTGGTGTCCCTGGGGGGGTGTTTGGGATTCCTGGTGGATTTTGGTGTCCCTGGGGGGGTGTTTGGGATTCCTGGTGGATTTTGGGGTCCCTGGGAGGGATTTTGGGGTCTCTGGGGGGGATTTTGGGGTCCCTGACCCCCCCTTTTTGCCCCCCCAGGTGCAGGGGGCTGGGGCCCCGCCTGCGCCTGACTTTGGGGGTGCTGCTGCCCGGGGGGGCCCCCCCGACCCCCAACCTGGTGCTGCTGCTGCGCTGCCACCCCCCCCCGAAACGGCTGCAGCCCCCCTGCATCAAGGTACCCAAAAACCACCCCAAAAATACCCAAAAATACCCAAAATAACCCCAAAAACCCCCCCCGAAACGGCTGCAGCCCCCCTGCATCAAGGTACCCAAAACCACCCCAAAAATACCCAAAATAACCGAAAATAACCCCAAAAATCCCCCAAAAATCCACCCCCCCAACGGCTGCAGCCCCCCTGCATCAAGGTACCCAAAAACACCCCAAAAATACCCAAAAATATCCAAAATAACCCCAAAAATCCCCCCCCCGAAACGGCTGCAGCCCCCCTGCATCAAGGTACACAAAAACACCCCAAAAATAACCCCAAAAATACCCAAAATAAACCCAAAAATACCCAAAATAACCCCAAAAATCCCCCCTGAAACGGCTGCAGCCCCCCTGCATGAAGGTACCCAAAATACCCAAAAATACCCCAAAATACCCCAAAAATCCACCCCCAAACGGCTGCAGCCCCCCTGCATCAAGGTACCCAAAAATACCCAAAAATAACCCCAAAAACCACCCCAAAAATACCCAAAATAACCCCAAAAATCCCCCCCCCGAAATGGCTGCAGCCCCCCTGCATCAAGGTCCCCCAAAACACCCCAAAAATACCAAAAATACCCCCAAAATACCCCAAAACATCCCCAAATCCCTCAAAATCCCCCCAAATCCCCAATTTTAGGTTCCTCCCCTAATTTGGAAACTTTCCCACAATTTGCTCCTTCCCCAGTTTTTGGAATTTCTCCCCCAACTTTTGGGATTTCTTTCCCAGATTTTTAGGATTTCTCTCTGATTTTTGGGGTCTCTCACAATTTTTTGAATTTTTTCTCCATTTTTGGGATTTTTTCCCCTGTTTTTGGGGGGGTTTTCCCCATTTTTGGGGTCTCTCTCTCCTGATTTTTGGGATTTCTTCTCCCCAGTTTTGGGATTTCTTTTCCCAATTTTGGGGGGGGGTTTCCCCCATTTTTGGGATTTCTTTTCCCGATTTTTTGGATTTTTTTCCCCAATTTTTGGGGGTTTTTTCCCATTTTTGAGATTTCTTTTCCCGATTTTTGGGTTTTTTCCCATTTCTGAGATTTCTTTTCCCTGATTTTTGGGTTTTTTTTCCCATTTTTGAGATTTCTTTCCCCGATTTTTGTTTTTTTTTCCCATTTTTGAGATTTCTTTCCCCGGTTTTTGTTTTTTTTTCCCATTTTTGAGATTTCTTTTCCCTGATTTTTTGTTTTTTTTCCCATTTTTGAGATTTCTTTCCCCGATTTTGGGGATTTTCCCCCCATTTTTGGGGTCTCTCTCCCCCCAGGTGCCGCTGCTGCTGCCGGGGCTGCGCTTCCTGTTCGGGACCTGGCTGGAAGCCGGGGGGGGCCCGGGGAGGCTGCAGGTGAGGGGGGGGGGGACACCTGGGGACACCTGGGGACAGATGGGGACAGATGGGGACAGATGGGACACACCTGGGGACACCTGGGACACACCTGGGGACACCTGGGGGACAGATGGGGACAGATGGGGGAATTCAGGACACACCTGGGGACACAGCTGGGGACACCTGGGGACAGATGGGGGGGGTTCAGGACACACCTGGGACAACTGGGGACAGATGGGGACACACCTGGGACACACCTGGGGACACCTGGAGACACCTGGGAGTACCTGGGGACACCTGGGGACACACCTGGGGGGGTTCAAGACACAGCTGGGGACAACTGGGACACACCTGGGACACACATGGGGACACCTGGGACAGCTGGGGACACTGGGGACACACCTGGGGGGGTTCAGGACACACCTGAGGACAGATGGGGACACCTGGGGACACACCTGGGAACACATATGGGGACACCTGGGACACCTGGGGACACACCTGGGGACACCTGGGATACATTTGGGACACACCTGGGGACACCCAGGGACACCTGGGGGGGTCACACGGTGCCCTCCCCTCCCCCCAGGTGCTGGTGCTGTGCCCAGGCCGGGAGGGGCCGGTGCTGACAGCACAGGTGGGGCTGCCCCCCGTGGCCACCTGAGAGCACCTGGGACACCTGGGGACACCTGAGAGCACCTGGGACACCTGAGAGCACCTGGGGACACCTGGACACCTGGGACACCTGGGGACACCTGAGAGCACCTGGGACACCTGAGAGCACCTGGGGACACCTGGGACACCTGGGGACACCTGGGACACCTGAGAGCACCTGGGGACACCTGGGACACCTGCACCCGGCACCTGAGAAACACCTGTGGCACCTGCACCTGGTGTCACCTGTACCTGGCACCTGGTGTCACCTGTGTCACCTGCACCTGAGAGCACCTGGCACCTGTACCTGGTGTCACCTGTGTCACTCACACCTGTGGCACCTGTGGTACCTGAGGGCACCTGTACCATCTGTGTCACCTGCACCTGGCACTGGGTCATTGTGCCACCCCTGTCCCTTGTCACCGGCACCTGGCACCGTGCCAGCCCTCACCTGTGTCACACCTGTCACTCCTCACCTGTGTCACACCTGTCACTCCTCACCTGTGTCACACCTGTCACTCCTCAGTGTCACCTGTGTCACCTCTCCCTGGTGTCGCCTGTGTCCCCTCACCAACGTCACACCTGTGTCACCTTCCCAGGTCACCATTCCCCTCCCCAGTGTCACCTGTGTCACACCTGTGTCACACCTGTGTCACACCTGTCATCCCTCACCTGTGTCACCTCTCCCTGGTGTCACCTGTGTCACACCTGTCCCCTCCCCCCCGTGTCCCCAATAAAGCTCCCGGTGCTGCAGCCCTGGCTCGTTGGGGGAGGGGCGGCCCCAGTGCTCCCAGTACCCCCCCCACACCCATCCCAGTATCCCCAGTACCCCCCACACCCATCCCAGTGCTCCCAGTACCCCCCCCCACCCATCCCAGTATCCCCAGTACCCCCCCACGCCCATCCCAGTGCTCCCAGTACCCCCCCACACCCATCCCAGTGCCCCCAGTTCCCCCCAGTTCCCCCAGGCCGGCACTGGTGCCATTTGTCTTTATTGAGCCACGACACAAACCCAGCGGGGGCTGAACTGGGACAAAACTGGGACCAACTGGGAGCCGCCCCCCCCTCCCCCCCCCGCTCCCCAAATCGGGGTCATTGCGGCAGCTGGGGGGGAGGGGCAGGGCGGGGGGGTCCCCAAAATCCGGGGGGGGGTCCCGGAAATCCCAGAGGGGTCCCAGGGTGGGAGCTGGGGGGACCCCGGAGTTTGGGGGGGTCCCCAAAATACAGGGGGGGGGTCCCAAATTCCGGGGAGGAGTCCCCAAAATCCGGGGGGATCTCGGGGACCCCAGAGTTTGGGGGGGGCTCGGGGGTCCCCAATTCCGGGGGGGGTCTGGGGGGGGCCCCAAAATCCGGGGGGGGATTGGGGGACCCTGGAGTTTGAGGAGGGGCTCGGGGGGGGGGTCCCCAAAATCCAGCGGGTCCCAAAACCTGGGGGGGTCCCAGAATCCGGGGGGGGCCCAGAATCCGGGGGGGGTCCCCCAAATCCAGGAGGGTCTCAGTTCCAGCGGCGGGGGGGTCCCGGGGGTGCCCCCCTCAGAAGCTCACCAGTGTGTACACCATACTGGGGGGGAGGGAGGGGCACACTGGGGCTCCCAGTATGGCCCAGTTCACACCAGTGCCCCCCCCAGTTCATCCCAGTGCCCCCCAGTCCATCCCAGTGCCCCCCAGTCCATCCCAGTATGGCCCAGTTCAGACCAGTGCCCCCCCATCCTCATCCCAGTTCAGCCCAGTGCTCCCAGTGCCCCCCAGTCCATCCCAGTCCATCCCAGTCCATCCCAGTGCTCTCCCGCTCCCGTCACACGCCCCCCAAATCTCTTCCCAGTCCCATCCCAGTCCTTCCAGTCCATTCCAGTCCCTCCCAGTGCCCCCCAGTCCATCCCAGTCCCTCCTCACCTGTACAGATAGAAGGCCAGCAGGTAGAAGGCCAGTTTGCACCAGTTTGCCCCAGTTCCCCCAGCTCCCAGCCCCTCTCCCAGTCCCTCCCAGTCCCTCCCAGTCCCCTCACCTGTACAGGTAGTAGAAGAAGGAGAGCAGGTAGAAGGCCAGTTTGCACCAATCCCCCCCAGTTTGCCCAGTTCCCCCCAGTTCCCTCAGCCCCCCCAGCTCCCAGCCCCTCTCCCAGTCCCTCCCAGTCCCTCCCAGTCTGTCCCAGTCCCCTCACCTGTACAGGTAGTAGAAGAAGGAGAGCAGGTAAAAGGCCAGTTTGCACCAGGCCTCCTTCTGGCAGTAGCCCAGGATGTCGGCGTCCATGATGGACAACGGCGTCAAAGAGACCCTCGGAGCCATCGGCCGGGCGGTGGAAGTACCTGGGGACATGGGGGACACCGAGGGGACACCATGGGGACACTGAGGGGACACTGGGGACACCATGGGGGTTATGGGAGCAGGTGGGACACGGTGTCCAAGGGCACCTCAGAGCTCTGGGATGGGCAGTGGAAATACCTGGACACACTGGAGACACTCTGGGGACATCGGGGACACATCAGGGACACATATGGGACATCCCCCCCACACACCCCCCAGTGACCCCCCCAGACTCCCCCAGTACCCCCAGAGCTGCTGCAGCAGCAGGGCCGGGTCTGACCCTGGTGTCACCCAGAGCCTTGGGGACCCCCCCAAACCCCCCAGGACCCCCAGACTCCCCCCGGTACCTCCAGAGGTGGTAGAGCAGCAGGGGCAGGTTCAGCCCCGGCGTCACCCAGAGCCCTGGTACCCCCTGTGCCCCCTGATCCCCCCAATGCCCCCCGTGCCCCCAATGCCCCCCGTGCCCCCCAATGCCCCCCATGCCCCCCAGTGCCCCCCGGTACCTCCAGAGGTGGTAGAGCAGCAGGGGCAGGTTCAGCCCCAGGCGTCACCCAGAGCCCTGGTACCCCCTGTGCCCCCTGATCCCCCCAATGCCCCCCATGCCCCCCAATGCCCTCCGTGCCCCCTGATCCCCTCAATGCCCCCCGTGCCCCCCAATGCCCCCGGTACCTCCAGAGGTGGTAGAGCAGCAGGGGCAGGTTCAGCCCCAGCGTCACCCACTCGGCCGCGCACAGGAACATGAGGCAGAAGAGCCCGTGGATGCAGTACTCGGGCACCACCAGCTGGGGGCGACAGCGGCACACACCGACTGTCACCGGGGCCACCCCGGTGTCCCCAAAGGCCACCCCATTGTCACCAGGGCCACCCCATTGTCCCCAGGGCCACCCCCTGGGAGTGACACCGCGACATTCCACCGTGTCACCGGAGCCACCCCAACTGTCCCCAAAGGTCACCCCATTGTCCCCAAAGGTCACCCCATTGTCCCCAGGGCCACCCCCAGCAATACTCGGCACCACCACCAGGGGGCGACGCAGCTGACAGCCCCAAAGCCACGCCCCCTGTGCCAGGCCACACCCCTTCACTCAGGCCCCACCCACCCCGTGCCCCCTTATTTGGGGGGGGCGTTTCAGTGTTTTGGGGTTGTTTCAGTATTTTGGGGGTTTTTAAATGGGGTTTGAAATGACAAGTTCGGATCTTAGGGTTTTCAGTTTGGGGGGGTCAGTTTTTGGCGGGGTTTATTTTGGGGAGGGGTCACTTTTTGGGGAGGGGTTTCAATTAGAGGGGTTCAGTTTTTTGTGGGGGGGTGCTCAGTATTTTGGGGGGTTCAATATTTTTCGGGGGATTCAATATTTTTAGGGGGGGAGTTCAGTATTTTTTGGAGTGTGCTCAGTATTTTTTAGGGGGGGTTTCAGCATTTTTGGGGGGTTCAATATTTTGGGGGATGTTTCAGTATTTTGGGA